AAATACTCAGGTTTTCAAATACGAATAGTGTCTAGTGGAATTAGTGAGCAGGGAGGTTTTTAAGTTACAATCTAGAAGTAAGGCTTTTGGGATGGGACAGTGGAGTGAGCAACTGCAGAGAAAGTGCCACCCAAGGTTTGAGCTCCATCAGGGACGTGTGTGTGTGTGTGTGTGTGTGTGTGTGTGTGTGTCTGTGGTTAAGGAGGGCTTCTCATTTGCTTTGTAAAACAAGACCTGGTTATTTGTGAGTGCATGATAAACACTAATCTAGAGACTGGAAGTTGGTGTTACTGTGTAAACCACTTTTATCATTTAAGATCACTTCTCTCAGTCTCCTAACCCATGGTCATGCCTATCCGAATACCGGGCACGGCTATCTGCAATGTCGAAACATTCAAAGAGTATACAAATTTTTGCTATTTTAGGTAATATTCTCAGGAAAATTTTCAAAATACAGAGAATACTATAATCCAAAAGCTCAACCTTCAAACCGTGGTATATATTTTACTTTAGAGAGGAAATAGTGCCATTTTGTGGTACAACCAGGTATTGCCAACAATACCAGGTATTGTTGATCAGTAGTGAATTTTAAACTGTAATGAATTTAAATTGAAAATTACAAAAGATGGGCTGGAGAGATGGCTCGGTAATTAGAGCACTCACTTCTCTTTAAGAGGAGCAGAGTTCCATTTACAGTTCCCACATCATGTGACTCACAATCACCTTGAGCCCCAGCTCCAGGGGATCCAATGCATCTGAGCTCTGCAGGCATCTGCACTCACACACATCCTCAGACACACACATAATTTAAAATAGTAAAAATAAGCAGGCATGTGTATGCCTTTAATTCCAGCAATCAGAAGAGAGAGGCTGTTGGTTTCGAGGCCATCCTGGTTTACAAGAGAGAATTGCAGGACAACCAGGGCTACACACACACACACACACACACACACACACACAGAGCAAAAAAAATCCAAATAATATATATTAAAATAAAAAAATTAATTACACAAAAGTTTTGTTTTAGTATGTTACATTTCTTGTGTATACAGAAAGCATTACCTGTTATAATGTTTGGGTCGGTGATTAAGAACACTAGCTGCTCCTGCAAAAGACATAGGTTTAGTTCTCAGCACCCACACAGCAGCTCAAATACATCTCTAACTCCAGTTTCAGGGAATCTAATTACTTCTTTCTGACCTCTGTGGGCACAGACATGCACACAGACAAAAACTCATACACACAAAATGAAATAAGTGAAGATCATCAATAGTTTTAAGTTTAAAATAAAAGAATGTATCAAAATACTTATAAAAAGCAACACTTTACTGGTGTAAGTGAAAACTCTTGGGTAGAACATAGCAAAACCTATGGAAAGTTTCAAAGGTACTTGGGTGTCCCCGTGTTTCTTCCAGATCCTGGTATTGCTATTCTTCTTGAAGAGACAGAACTCCCTGGTTACCAACACCTACTCTGAAATGTATCAGAGATGGGGAAGGCCATGAAAAAAGTCACACACGTGATGCCACTTGACATCATTATCTTACAAAAGAGAGATCTGAGGAAACTACTTAGAAAAGGGGACAGAGATAGACCACACTAGGTCAGTAGAAGCTATGGAAGAGTTTGGATATTTAAATTCAACTTCATGTGACAGCTCTTTTATTGACACTCGGCAACTGCTCAAATGGCTTTCAGGATAGGGTGTATGTTTCATAAAGATTATATTTTGAATTTGCCTGCAATCCTATCATGCTACAGACAAAGATAGGAGGGCCAGCCTGGTCTATGTAGTGAGCTCCAGGGCCTATATAGCAAGACCTTGCCTCAGAAAACAAATTAATTTACAAGTAAAACTGAGGGTTATCAGTAATGTATGACACTGATGTTTGCAAGTGTGTGTGCACATATGTACAGTGGAAAGAGTAAACCCAAGGAATTGACAAAAGCCACACCTTACCTCTCATGCTTGTCATTCTCTGTATGAGAACTTTTAAAATCTACTATTTTAGTAATTCTCAAGGATGATAGCTTTGTGTTCTGAGATCTCATCTCCACATTGTCTACAATGCCATGTAAAGTAAGAAATAATTAGGTAGGTTGTGGTGGCACATAGCTTTAATCCTAGTACTTGAGAGGCAGAGGCAAATGAATTCAAGTCCAGCCTGGTCCAGCATGGCCAGAGATGCACAGAAAAACCCTGTCTAGATTATATGTGTGCATGTGTGCGTGCGTGCGTGTGTGTGAGTGTGTGTGTATGTATGTATGTATGTATGTATGTATATATTGATAATAATAATAAATAGAAAATTCCAGAAATGAGCTTCTAAATTTTAAATAACTTTAATTATAGTAATTCAACTTGTTTTATGCTTCATTATTATTGCTAATCTCCTTTTACAAATTATTTATTTATTTTACATGTATGTGGTGTTTTGCCTGTGTGTGTATCTGTGCCATATACCTGCCATGTGTTCCTGGTGCTGTGGAGGCCAGAAGAGGATGCTCGGTCCTGAGTTACAGATGCTTGTGAGCCACTGTGTGGGTGCTGGGACTTGAACTCTCGTCCTCTGCAAGAGCAGCCAGTGATCTTAACCACTGAGCCACCACACCAGCCCCCTGTTGTTAGTCTCTTAACTGTGCCTAATTTTAGATTAAACTTTGTCATATGTATGTGTGCATTCATAAAACATAGTATAAGTGGTCTGGATGTGTGTTCTTGTTCAGGGTACAGGTCTTGTAGCCTGTGGTTCACAAAGGAGGTGGGACTATTGTGTGACCTTATAGATCCTTCTGTCACCATGTTGTAAAGCAGATCTCCTCAGGTTCTCGAGTTGAAGGTTTTAATGAGAGGTGTGACATTCCATGACTGGTAGAGCAGAACATCAGAGGACAACTGGAGAGCGGATCTGAAAATGAGGGTCAAGGGCTCCTAACAATGCTAAGTATCACTGGCCGTGGAGATGGAAGGAATGAGCAGAGGGCATAGAACACCCGATTCTGCCGATGGATGTGTTAAGACAAAAGACAATTTGGTTACTATTCTAATTGTCTGCATTAAAACTTTCAATAACTGTAAGAATACACTTAAATAGGAGCATTCCAATCTGAATTATAGCCTTAATATTATCGACCTTAAGGATTTTTTAAATTCCAGTTTTAGTTAGTCTGTCTTAGATGTCTTTTCTCATCTCCTAATGTAATAGAGTTATTTTTTTCTTCTGCTACATAGGAATCTGACCCCTTTCTTTTCTTTTTAAGATTTATTTATTTTATATATGGAAGTACACTGTCACTGTCTTCAGACACACCAGAAGAGGGCATTGGATCCCATTATAGATGATTGTGAGCCACCATGTAGTTGTGGGAATTGGACTCAGGACCTCTGGAAGAACAGTCAGTGACCTCACCTGCTGAACCCTCTCTCCAGCCCTAATTTTTTTAAAAAAAAAAATAATTAGACTTATTTATTTTATATGTGTGAGTGCTTCACCTGCCTGTTTGTATACAGGCCACGTGCATGACTGATGCCCAAGGAGATCAGAGGAGGGTGTAGCTCTCCTAGAACTGGAGTTACAGATGGTTTTGAGCCACTGTGTGGTTGCTGGGAATTGAACCCAAGTCCTCTGGAAGAGCATCCAATGCTTTTCACCACTGACCCATCTCTCCAGGTCTGTTGCTGACTGTTTTTTTAATTAATGATCAAATATTAAAACCATACCTGGATAAAGCCCAGAATGCTAAACTAAAGAAAAACAAACCAAACAGATTCCTTACAATTGCAGAAAAGATAAGTGCCACCTTGTGGTTTACAGTGGTATTGCCTCTCTGGCTCTGTTTTCCCCTGGTCCCTAGCTCTGGTGCTGAACTCTCCAGCTTTGTTACTTAGTAACCTGGCAAGCATACAAGTTGACTACCCTACTAAGAAGCAATGCTTACAATGTACATAAACCGGCTGGTAAATTTCATTTGAACCAAAGGGAACTACAAATGAGCCTCAGCTAAGTACCTGATGGCACAAAGTGTTCTATGTTCCTTGCCCTGGTTAACTCCCATCAGTTAACCAGTGACCATGGGTTCCTGACAACATACACAGTAATTTATATAGGAATGGAAGCCTTGAACCCCAAATGATTCCATTACTGTGCCAGAGACCTATGTCCTTGTAACTGTTACTTCTACACAGACAGGCCAAGGCCCACTGGGAAGGAAGACCGTGCCCTGCTACATTGAATGTTTTAGTTTGTTTAAGATGTATCTCAAAGAAACTAACAGAGTGAGAAACAAACATGTCACTTTGTGCCCAAGATAGCCTGGAACTCACTGTGTACACAAAGCTGGCCTAGAGTTGGGAGTGGTAGAAGCAGGAAATTCTCTATGAGTGGAAGACCAGCCTGTGAGTTCCAGGACAGGCAGAGCTATACTGTGAGATCTCATTTAAAAACAAACAAACAAAAGAACCTAAACACAATGTTGACCTAGAAGTTATAGGGATCTCACCTTGCTTTTATGGCTTTGTAGACAAAATGTGTTGCTCACAGCAATTTCTGGTGAAAATTTAGTTCACTACAATGATAATGGCTCGTGAGCAGAAATTAAATATTTGTTTCTCCTAAACCCTGGAAAATTTTGTGATATGCTTTTTTATTTTTATTTTTTTAAGATAGGGCCTCATGCAACTTAGACAGGCCTCAAACTCACTCTAGAGTTGAGGTGCCTTAAAAGTGAGCAACTACCATGTTCTGCTTGTGTGGAACTAGAGAGCAAACCTAGGACTGCATGCATGCTAGGTAAGAACTCTGCTAATTAAGCTACATTCCTAGACCTTTGTAAACAAAAATTCTCATAAATTACCCATATCTTAGGAAAGAGAACCAATTTTTGAGAGTGCAGCAAAAGAAGTATTACATTAACTAAAAGCTAACATATAGTAATGTATCCTTTACAAAGACATAAAAATAAAATAAAAAGTCTAAAATGAGTATTAAGTTTGAACTTACCATAACTAGGCAAAATGCATAGGTTGAGTGGTATCATCAGCAGAACTATGCACCCTAGAAGAATAAAGGGCACCTCGTAGCCAAAGGATTGATACAAAAGGCCACCCAAAGGGGGACCTGCTACCAGCCCCAGTCCAGAAAAAACCTCAAGACTTCCCTAAAAGTAAAAAAGCAAAAGAGAATTTAGCTCATGTATTTTTTTTTTTTTAGTTGAAGGATTACACATGATAACACATGCCTTTAATCTCAGCATTTGGAAAGCAGAGACAGGTAGACCCTTAACAGTTCCAGACCAGAAAGGGTGACAAAGTAAAATCTCATCTCAAAATGCCTGGTATTGTAAACCTAGCTAACCCCCCTGTGGCTGGTAAGGTCATGGGCATGAGAATAGACTCTGGTAACTGCCACTTTCCTAAACCGGTATAGTGTATAAACACATTTGAAATATATATTCTTAGGGCCACAGGGAAGTGCACCTCCCACCTCTCATCAAAGAAGCTTCCTTTCAAAGCTGCTGGAGCGCATTACAGAAATCTGCAACTGGTCTCAGGGTGCTCAACGCCAATTGATACATATGCACCAAAACCTGTATAACTAAGTCTTGAGAAACACCAAGGAATAAGGGTAGAAAGATGGTAAGACCCAGAGGCCCAGAACGTCAGCTATGAAAGAGTGCCTTCTACATGTGACAGCGAAGTTGCATCCATGAAATATCAATACAGTTACCTGAGGAAGACCAGCATAATGACTACACTATCTGACATGCCACATGGATGAGAGAAATTTCACAAATCATTATCCCCAGATGAAGCACTACAGGTAACCAATGGCTGCTAAAAAGAGGAGAATCAGTTTTCTCTAGGGGGAAGCCCCTGATTGGTTATCCAACGCAGTGGTCAGGGCTGAGCATATATACATATAAGCAATACTAGATGAACTTGGTGGAAGCTGTATTTACACACACACACACACAAGTAATTAAAGAGAAGGGGTGGAAATTATTTAAATATTGTACTCATGTAGAAATTTTAAAAATGTCATTTCATGACTTATACACACACACACACAGAGAAATATTTGTTTACACATTGATGTTGTAGCACTGTTTGTGATGTCAAGCAAGGTTTGGTGGCAGACTCCTGTGATCTCAGCATCCAGGAGAAGAGATTCAGGCAGCAAAACCAGGAATTCAAGGTCAACTTTTGAGAGTTTTAGCCAGCCTGACCTACATGAGACCCTGTTCTAAACAAAGGGACAAAAGATGCAAACGATGTAAATATTCACTAGCATTTTAATTAACTAGGAGATATCTACATAGTGTATGCAGCCAGTAAAGAGAGAATAAGTATGGGTTTTGTAACTAGATACAGTAGGTTTCCACTGTGAATTTGTCAGTATAATCATTGAGGCGTTAAATGATGTGAAGAGTATGTCATCACTTTCGTAAAGAAAAGGAGAAAGAGTCCTGCTGCTACTCTATATGCACATGTACGTGTGTGCATGTGTGTGTGCATATGTGTGTGTGCAAATGCATGTGTGCACATATGTACTTGTATGTATGTGTACATGTGTGCATGTGTACATATGTATATCTGTGCATGTGTATGTGCAAATGTATTTGTGTGTATGTGTGTGCATATGTACATGTGTGGGTATGTACTTGTATCCATGCATAGGTATGGAATCTTGGGAAAAAGCCCTCTTGGAGTAGGTGAGGCACTGGGTGCATGGATGGCACATGTGTGTTTGAAGTCAGAACAACAGTGCTATGTGTCAAACATTTACTATATTCTCTTTCTTTTTTTTTTTTTTTCGAGACAAGGTTTCTCTGTGTAGTCCTGGCTGTCCTGGAACTCACTCTGTAGACCAGGCTGGCCTCGAACTCAGAAATCCGCCTGCCTCTGCCTCCCAAGTGCTGGGATTAAAGGTGTGCGCCACCACCACCCGGCTATTTACTATATTCTCTATTCCATTTCATAACTTTCTAATTTTATGCTGCATAAAATTAACTAAAGATAAAATAAACAAGGCAGTCCTGTGGAAAAGAAGCTTACTGTTGAGGAAATTGGAGCATTTTACATCAATCTAGTTTTCTAGGGCTTTAAATACATCTATGGCTTATAAAGGGGAATTAAGCATCCTACCTACCCTGTAATTATGACACACAATCCATGTATTTTATTTACAAGCAGTAAGCCTAGATTGGGCAGATTCGGAGCTATTCTAACTTAGGTCCCAGCCATAACGTCCCTTATTACTGCTGTTTTTTTCTGGCCATGTGCTCATGGTCAATTCCCTCTCATTTCATCCTCCACCTTCATGTCCTCCCATCCCTCTTCTCTCCTCTACCTGCAACCCCCTCACTCCATCCTCAAGTCCTGTCTTCCTCCCTCTACTGCCCAATCACAGGCTCCAACCTTTTATTGATCAGTTAAGTTGGGGAGCAAGGTTTACATACCATCACTTGGTGACCCTGTGAGGATCTGCTTGTTAGGGGCAACCAGATCTTGAGAGCCAGTATTTGGCGATAGAATTCAAGTGGCATCAGACCAACCCACTATAATGGCTGACAATTCTACAGTCAAAATCTGTAAAGTCCACACATGATTAAGTAACTTGTGAAATATGTTGGCCCTGGCTATGACTTTTTATGGAAGACTCGGAGGGGGGCAGGCAAGTCTACGTTCTCCTGCCAATCTCAAATGCCAGTGGATGGCTGCTGCCGTCATAAGAATCTTCTTGCCAGCATGGTCCACAGGATACCAGCTCCTTAAGAGGTCAACAAGTCTGATGTGGAGGAAGTTGACACATGGATAAACTGACAGGGTAGTAGTCAGAAAATGTTCAAAATCAGAAGGGTGCTCCTCAGACAAGACAGAAGTGTTCTGAGAATTTCAAGATAACCTGTGATCTCTTCCAAGAATCTGGGGAAAATAGCATAAAGACTCTTATGAGCTAAGCTTTTGTCATGAGGGATAGCTTCTAGAGTAGAGGAAAGCTATGGGCATCTCTGGACCTACTCATAGGACCACAAGGAAGTAGCAAAACGCTACTCAGATCTTAGAAAGGGAAAGAAAGAAATGGGGGGTGGGGCAGGATAGAGATTAGAGAGGTGGCTCGGTGGTTAAGATCACATGCTCTTTCAAAGGACCTCAGCTCTATTCGCAAAACCCATATGATAGACAACAATCATCATAACTCCAGTTCCAGAGTATCTGATACCCTCTTTTGACCTTCGTGGTTCCCCAGGCTCACAAGTGGTATACATGAATATATGCAGGCAAAACGCTCATACAGACATAAAAGAAAACAAATATTTAAAAATATTTCAAGAGTGATTTAAAAAAAAAAGAAATGTTGGCATCCTGTTTACCCATCAAAGTGCATAGACCAGGAAGAGCATTTAGGGAGCACTAGAGATCACTGCCTTTTGTTTTTCTTCTTAGGATACAGGATCTCACTGTGTAGCTCTGGCTGGCCTGGCTGTGTGGGCAGGAGATCCTGCTGCCTCTGCCTCCTAAGTGCTAGGATTAAAGGCATGTGCCAGGTTTCCACTTCTTTTTAAGCTCTCTCTTCCTGGGGTAGAGTTGTCACAGATGGTCTCCATTTCTTTGCTTGCTTTGTTTTTCAGACAGTGACTCACAGGGTCACCCATGCTGACCCTCCAACTGTTGATGTTCCAACTACCCATGTTGTGGGTTACAGGTATGTGTCACTACACCAAGCAATGCTATGCTTTTTTATCTTTTCACTTGCTGTTGGAACTAGAAATCACAATGAAGGGGGTGTGGGAGAAGGGTGACACACACAAGAGAGTGGGGGAAAGAAGAAATCAAACAAATCCTTTGGCCATGTAAGAAAGGAACTAAGAATAAGTTCAAATTACATACCATGATTGTAGCCACATTATTTGGGAAAGCCTTTGCAAGGATGGAAGACGAGGCAGTTATGGCTGCACCAAAGCCTATGGCATCTACTATTCTCACCAGAAAACACATGGCAATAAATATCGGTCCTTCTGGAAGCTGATCCAAGACACTGAAAAAGAACATGACAATTACCAAATGTCAAACTGGTCTCAGTTTTTAATTCACTATACTCCTTGAAGAGAACCACACTTTCCAAACTTATTAGATAAAAATCTCTTTAGGGATCTTCTAAAAAGTTGGTTTGTCAGCTGGGTGGTGATGGCACATGCCTTAAATCCCAGCACTGAGGAGGCAGAGGCAGGTGGGTCTGTGTGAGTTCAAGACCAGCCTGGTCTAAAGAAGGATTCCAGGACAGCCTGGACTTCACAGGGAAACTCTGGGGTGGGGAGGGAGGTTGGTTGTCCCAGTTTTGATAGGGAATTGCTGTTTTTAATTTTTGTTATAATTCAAGCCATGACAGCTTAGCTGTCCCTTTTTTGTTGGTATAACTGGTTTCTGATAACAGTATTCTAAATAAGCTTCTTTGGAATATTTTGGTCCCCTGGACCCATAGAAGACTGTGATGACAGGACCTATCATAGGTAACAAAATCAGAGGATGTAGAAGTTCTCAACATCAGCCATATTGTCTACTATAACTGATGCTCATCTTACCAAATGCATCTCTGCTTTTAATTTACATATTTATCTATTATGGTGCTGTGCTGATCACAAGGCCTCAGCCATGGTAGGCCAATACTCTTGCAGAGCTATGCTTAAGTTGCTCACAGTACTTAAGTTACTTCTTGAAAACCTTTGACACCTAGCACAGTGCAAATGCTATATAAGTAGTTGATATAGCTGTTATTGTCAGATAGTGATAGGAAAGACCAAACTCGTGCCTTTTATCTCTGTCTCAGCATTCCGAGGCAGAGGCAGACAGAGCTCTGTGAGTTCAAAGCCAGCCAGGTCTACACAGTTCCAGGCCACTCAGGGCTACACAGTGATACCCTGTCTCAAAAACAACCACAAAACAAAAGGAGTTGGTGGAGCTTGTCTAGGAACATTACAGAAGAAAAGGAGGAAGCTGAAAAAGATTTCTGATGACTCCTTTCAGCATCCATAGCCAGGGGTCTGGTTCTGTAAGAAACAGATTCTCTTTTCTGCCTAAGCAAAATGTTTCTATGACTTAGAAGACTATTAAGTTCTCATCATGAGTGGTCACAGGAGTCCTGGTGGATGAATTCAGGAGCCACAGTGCTGTTTTCTCTATTGTCTTAAGACAGGGTTTTCCTATATAGTGCAGGCTGGCCTCAAATTTGAGGTCCTCCTCCATTGCCTCTGGAGAGCTGGAATTACAGGTCTTCATCACCATGTTTGCTTCAGCAGGCAGTCAACAGAAGATCTTGGAGGATGCTCTTTAAGGTCAACAATGTTTCTATTTTCTTCCCACCTCCCTCCCTCCACCATTAGTCACAGAGTAACCATCTGATAATATAGTGCTGATTGGTACTGATTGGTTGCTGTTAATGGATCAGTGAGTTGGCTTAGCGAGGTAAGGTGATCACAGCACAAGCCTGGCAACCTGAGCTCAATACCTGGAACCCATGTAAAGGTGGAGAAAGGAAAACAATGCCACCTCTGCCCTCCACATGCACAACATCCCCCCTCATACACATATAATAACAATAAACCTTTAAGAGAACTTTTAAAGCCATTAACATTTTTAGGAGATGGACTAAGAATTTTATCCTTGTTCCCAAACATTAGAAAGTTACTTACCCAAAGAGAATTGTAACTCCTCCTGAGACAAACATTCCTGCTATAAACATAAATTTGGCTCCAATGTGTACAAGCTACAATAAGAGCGAAAAGTGATACATGAATTGCTTCCACAAGTCTACATGTACATAAACAAGCCTAGTAGCACATATACAACTGCAGGAAAGCATGAGTTTTAATATCATATCAAAATAATTGTTTAAAAGAATTGTAACATACACTGTTCATAAGCATGGAAGGGACTAACATCAACCACAAAGAGAACTGTGGCGTGATTTATAAAGATATAATGGCATTATTTTCACATATATAGAAATTCTAGAGTAGTAAGTTATAATAATTCACCCCATGGTTTTTGAAGATTAAGATATGTATATGAGCACCAACACTTACATATTTTCCAAACACCAAAGATGCCAGCAATTCAAATAACGCGTAGCATCCGAAGATCATTCCGATCATGGTGTTGCTGGCCCCCTTCTTTTCTGCCTTAGAAAGAACAGAAACAGGAATACAATTTAAAAGCCAGAACAGCATTGGTGGAAAGACAGGAGGATGAAGTCAGAACATCACCTTTGTGACTTTCATATATGTACAGTAATTTCCAAGATTTGGGGGCGGGAGCATTAATGTCCACATAATAATAAAATAAAAAATAATAAAAATAAAATAATAAATAAGTATTTTTGTAAAAATTAACTTACCAAGTAGCAGGTTCCTTGGAACATTTTTGTACATACTTAGTTTGGTTGGTCCTACCCTATCTCCTGTTCAAACCTTTCCATTTCTGGAATTTTAAAATATTATTTTAAAATAAGTAAGGTAAGGAAAGATATGAAAGTAGATGGTAAAATCTAGACTCTGATATGAAAATAATTCACTTAGTTTGCCCATAAAGAATTCCATGGCACATACCTTTCATCCCAGCGCTCGGGAGGCAAAGGCAGACAGATCTCTGTTAGTGTGAGACCAGCATGAACTACAGAGTGACTACACAGAGCTACACAGTAAAACCCTACCTCCAAAAAACAAAATAAATAAATAAATAAACAAACAAATAATTTCTTCATCTGAGTAAAAGTCAGTATTACAGAATATAAAACACACAAAATACTTGAGATGAGGCAACCTGGGCCAGCTTCTCAGTCACAGAGCTAAGGAAACAGCTGATGTAGACAGACTTCCTTTTTGGCATTGCTTCTAGAATTGCAGTCTACACAAAACAAACACAAAGCACGTGGCAGTCACTAGTTCTAGAAAAAAATAAACAAAGCCAAAAAAAATCGAGGAGAGGAAATGTCAAGAACTGGCAAATGGGTCATAGGAAGGCCCAGCCAGTAGGCTCCATGGCCCATTTGGGGAGAATTTTTTTTCCTGTGAGGAGTGCAGATAAAGGATGCTCCACACAGTTTACTCTCCATAGTTGGGATTATTAATCTTTAGAGCCTGTTCCACCAGGGACATCTAATCTTTGCTATAGATGATGCAGCACTTATTCTAAATCTACTTTGTGTATGCACCTGAATATGTGTACGTGCACCACAGGTGTGCATGGATTTCCTGGGACTGGAGTTACAAGCAGTTGTGAGCTACTCTGAGAGTGCTGGGAACTGAACTCATGTCCTTTGCAAGAACAGCAGGTGTTCTTAACCACTGAGCCACCTCTTAAGCCTCTAAAAACCTCTTCAAATTGTGCAAGTATGGTTGACCTGTGAGCCCCAGTGAGGCAGTGGTCAGAGAAACAGCTCTGTGTTCCCACCTCCAGAAGGCTGAGTCCTTTTCAGAGACCTCTACTCAGCTCAAGCTGAGATTCTTTCGTTTATTTTTTTTTTCGCTTTTTGAGACAGTATGCCATGTAGCCCTGACTAGCCTAAGACTTGCTATGTAGCTGAAGCTGGCCTTGAATTCCTCCTGATTTTCCTGCCTCTGCTTCCTGAGTAATGTACAGGCATGTACCACCACATTTATTCACGTGATGCTATAAATCAAATATGGGGCTTTGGACTAGGCACACACCACCAACTGAGCTGCAACCCCAGCTTCAAGCTAATGCTCTTTATTTCACCACAGAGAAAGAATTTCAGGACAAGTCCACATGAAGCAAAGCTGAAGCTTATTATGAGGTACAGATGGAGGTTATTATATTTTAAATAGACTTAAACATAGACATTTTAGACAGAAAGAAGGGTTGGGGTTTAAGGGTGGAGAGAGGCACTTATGGAAGGATAGTACACATCCCAATGTGGGTGTGTGCTTCTCAAGACAGGAACATGTCAGTGTCTTTATAATAGTCACACTGATAATTTCCCCTATCTATCTTGCCTCAGATCCTCACATTGGGTGTATATACATTTAAGGGTTAAAATATGCAGATCTTTAATGCCAGTGCTTGGAATGCTGAGGCAGTGGGATCTCTGTGAGTTTGAGGCCAGCATGGTCTACAGAGCAATAACTAGACAATCCAGAGCTACACAGTGAGACCCTGTATTTAAAAAATAAAAAGGAATGATTCTTAAGGATAAACTATGAAACTCCAAGTCGGTATGAAATGGAGTATGGAGCCTCACATGGCTGTTCTCTGAGAGTCACCACTTACTAAAAAAGTAATCTTTTCTGTGCCTGGCTGTGTGTCTTATGGAGTATTTATAGTCAGTTGAGTGGTTTCAATTCATCCTTTCACCAGAGCATTAAACAACTTTACTCAGAAATACACATACCTGAGAAACCTTCAGAATGAGTCCTTAGGCCTGGGGCAGATGGTTCAGCAGTTAAGAGCAAGTGTTGCTCTTGTACGGCTCACAACCATCAGTAATGTCAGTTCTAGGGGACCTACCTTCTGATATCTTACCTTCTGATATCTTATGTATGAGGTACACATACATGCATGTCCAAAATAAATAAATCTTTAATTAAAAACTATGTATATAGATTTAAAACCACTTTCTCTACAGTAGCCACAATTGCATTTCTTTTCTTGTTTTTTTTTCAAACTACAGCTTTTGTGCATGCGTGCATGTGCATGTGCATGTGAGTGTGCGTAAGCGTATGAATGTACAAGTACACTCAGATAGATAAGGAGGGCAGAGCAGGACATTGGTGTCTTCTGCTATTTCTGTCATCCTTGCCCTCATACAGGATCTCTCTCTCACTGAACCACTTCAACTAGATCAAGCTGACTAGTGAACTCTTATGCTCTACCTGTCTCTGTCTAATGTTGGGGTTACAGGACTTATCAGCCATGCCTGGCTTTTTACATGCATGCTGGAGAATCAATCTCAGGTCCTCTTGCTTGCAAAGCAGGTGTTCTTACCTAGTGAGCCATCTCTCCAGCCCCTCCAACCATGATTTTTTTTAAAAAACAAGTTCTCCATCCCTTCCCATGTGAGCTATGTGAGAGTTATGAGCTAGGAATGGGGACCTAAAACAAACTATGCATATTCATCTTACTGTAATGTTATATTACACATACTTTGTTTTTTATAAAAATACTGCTACTACATTTGTGTGGGTGTGTGTGGGAGCACGCATGTACCACAGCACATAAGTGAACATCAGAAAACAACCTGCAGAGTCAATTCTCTCCTTCTACCATATGGGCCTGAAGAAGCAAACTTAATACCTTTACCTACTAAGCCATCTTACCAGGACATGGGTGTGTGTGTGTGTGTGTGTGTGTGTGTGTGTGTGTGTGTTTCTGTCTGTCTGTCTGTCTGTCTGTCTGTTCGTGTGCCTGTGTGTGTGTTTGTGTGTGTCTGTGTGTGTGTCTGTCTGGGTGCCTGCATATGTATGTGTATCTGTCTATTTGCCTGCACTTGTCTGTGTGTGTGTGTGTACCTGTCTGTGTGTCTTGTCTGTCTGTGTCTATGTGTGTATCTGTCTGTCTGTGTCTGTGTGTCTGCATTTGTGTCTATGTGTGTGTGTCTGTCTCTGTGTGCCTGTATGTGTGTGTGTATATGTGTCTGTCTGTCTTTGTCCCTGTGTATGTGTCTGTTTGTGTATGTCTCTGTCTGTGTGTGTGTCTTTGTGAATGTCTGTGTGTGTATCTGTGTCTATGTGTGTGTGTATCTGTGTCTGTGTGTGTGTCTGTCTGTGTGCCAGCATGTGTGTGTGTGTCTGTCTGTGTGCCTGCATGTGCGTGTGTCTGTGTATATGTGTGAGTGACAATTCCTGGCTTGTAACTCTCATCTAGCCTGTCAGATAGGTTATAAGACCCTTCTCATTCTGGAGGGGCCCTACCTCATACCTTGGAGGTAGGATAATTACATAGAGAGCAAAGAGAACCTGGACTGTCAGGCCTGGCTGTGTTTCTATGCCCAGTCTGTAAACTGTCATGCTATATAGTGAGGTATCCACAAACCCCAAAGGCACAGGGCTCATGAGGTTTCTACACAGCTGAAAATGTTCTTGATTGGTAACATGTCACCCAATGCATTGGCTCATGCATGTTCTGTATAATAATTTAACCAAATTAATTAAACCCAAGGTCAGGTATGTATGATTCCCAACTTGTAGCCAGTTAGTCACAAGCTCCAGGCTACAGCTTGTGACTCAAGGGGTCTGCAACTGACATTTGAGAGCAGGGGACAGTCCTGGGACTGAGATATCTCCAGGTGACAGAGTCACAGGTATCCTGGATTAGAGGACTCCACAGTGTCTGTTGCTGAAGAGTTACTAGCTCTCTAGAAATAAAGGAGCAGCCCTGTGCCTTTTGAGGTCATAAAAGTGACCTGCGTTGTGAATGCACAGCAGGGGAAGCTGCACTTCAGCTGGCTTTTCCCTTTGTGCTGACTAGTTTTTTGTCAACTTGATACAAGCTGGAATCACTGGAGAAGAGGGAGCCTCAGTTGAGAAGATGCCTCAGTAAGATCAGGTTGTACGCAAGCTTTCAGGGCATTTTCTTAATTGATAATTGATGAGGAAAACCCAGCCCATGGTGGGTAGGACTACTTCTGAGCAGGTGGTTCTGAGTTCTATAAGAAAGTGGGATGAGCAAGCCATGATGAGCAAGCCAGGATGCAGCACCTCTGCATCAGCTCCTGCCTCCAGGTTCCTACCCTGTTTGAGTTTCTATCCTAACTTCCTTCAATGATGAACAGTGACATGGAAGTGTAAGCCAAATAAACTCTTTCCTCCCTAACTTGCTTTTTGGTCCTGGTGTTTCATTGTAGCAATAGAAACACTAAGACCCGCAGAGCAGGCAATTCTCAACCTGTGGGTCTCCACCCCTTTGTGAGAGTCAAATGACCCTTTCACATGCATTCGTCACATCAGATATTTGCATTATGATTCATAGCAGTAGCAAAATTAAAGTTATGAAGTAACAAAAAGAATTCTATTGTTGGGGGTCACCACAGCATGAGGAACTGTATTAAGGGTCTCAGCTCCAGGAAGGCTAAGTCAGAGCCTCTTATCATTATTTTGTCACAAAACCCAAATCTGGCTAACCACTCTGATGCTCTCCCAGCCACCAGCCCTGGGCATGCATTCCAGTGTTCTTGCCTTCCAGCTGTAGCTTGCCCCTCAGAGTCCCAGCCTTCTATCAAGGTTTTGCCCTGCCCTAAGTTTAAGCCACAGTGAGCTGTCTCCTGTTCTCTAAAAATATGGCATCACTCTGCCCTCCTCCGACCACCTCTGAAATGATACTCCTCCCTGTTATTTACCAAAGGAACTACCATTTCTCAAGCCACACCTCACTTAGACTCAACAGAAGTCTCAGACAGTGGCACACCCTTCTCCTTAGCCATAATTAATCTATCAAGAAATAGCTTGAATATAATCTCTTCTTGCCATCTTTTCCTTAAAGAATACCCAAAGTCTAAACCAATTCTCCTTTCCTTCCTGTCTTTTCTCATCTGCTTTACTCCTGGACACTTTCTGGCTTCTCCTTACCTGAGCACATATATCTATGGCTCAGCGCATCCAGAGTAGAAACTTCCATGAAATTGGACTGAACTGGGAAAGGCCCTCACTTCTGAGACTGCTATTTTAGAGTAATCAATGGGATCCTCGCTGTTCTCTCTCCTGGGATTGTCAGAGGTGTGCTGAAAACCAGTGAGTGCTCTATGCGTGCAGAACTATGTGTTGCTCCTTCAGCAGAGAAGCGCTCTCTGGTAGCATCCAAAGTGAAGGAGTACAGGCTATGGAGGTGGTTTAAGGACTGAGAAGTTGTCAGTGCACCGTGGACCTAGAACTTTGGAAAGATGCTCAAAATAAACATTTGGACATACTGTCTGAACTGGCTCAAATGAGTTCCCTTCATTCCATATTATATGCATGCACTACACACTCTAGTCTAACCTTTGTGTCATGGCTACAGTTCCTAACACCATGGAAAGAGCAAAGGTTAGAGGGAGCCAGCAATGTTAATCAGAATCCTTCCTTTGTGTAAACAATGCTTCTGGAGTTTATAATGAAGTCAGACTGAATTTCCTGGGTCATAACTATCTCCCACCCCACTCCTAACCCGCTTAGAAACAAAGTCTCACTTTATGGCCCTGTCTGCCTGGAATTCACTTATAGACCAGGCTGGCCTCAAAACTAGAAGCTGCCTGCTTGCCTCTGCCTCCTGAGTGCTCTGAATAAAGGCATGAGCCATTATACTTAGCTAAAACTACCTAAGTCATATATGCACAACACCAGAAGACAGCATTGGCATCTTGATTTTAGTTTTTTAAGCTATACACTTCAAATAGAGATTAATCAAGCTACATGGTAAAAAGAAATAATACTTAGAAAGTTTCAAATATATATTTGGAGAATTACCCAGCAAAAGGAAGGATGGTCTTTATATATATATATATATATTGAACACTAAGAAACAGTCTCTTGCTGTGTGTGGAGGAGGATGATTCAGCAGGTAATGTGCTTTTTTGTGTAACCAGGACAACCTGAGTTGGATCCCCAGCACCCACATAAAAAAAACTGAGCTTATTGGCACACATCTGTAATATTAGCACAGCAAGGTTAAGGCAGGAGGCTTCAGGGGCCTGCTGGCCAGCCAATCTAGCTGAACTGGAAAGCTCCAGGTACAGTCAGTGAGCGACCATGTCTTGATGAAGGAGCCTGCCATTGACCTCTGACCTCTGCACATGGGCTAACAGTCCCTACCCAACACACATAGACACACACACACACAATACAACTGTCATATAAAACACAAATATGTTATACATACTATAGGTACATTTTTATATTTTATTTATTTTGAAGATTCTTAAAATTTCTAACTATGTGTGTATGCACATGTATGTAGAGGTATTTACATGTGAGCACTGGTATCCTTGGAGGCCAAACATACCAAATCCCTCTCAAACTAAAGTTAAAGAACTGAACTCAGATTAACTGGAAGAGCAGGACACACTCTTAATTGCTGAGCCACCCCCCCCATTATAAAATTCTTACATTTTATAACATCTATATAACTGAAAGGGTTTTCAAAAATTAGAGTTTATACAGTATAAAAATGTTTTACCTCCTTAGGGAAAAATGGTCCAAGGATGGAATAGGTCATCATGCAACCTAAGTTCATGGATGCTGCTGATACCAGTACAAAAACCTGTTCTTTTGACAGTCTCCTAGATGTCTTGCTTGTACTTCTTCCAGGGTCAGCACCTTAAATACAAACATACTGCTATCACATGGGTGAAACTGGGATTCTGGGTAAAACACACAAATGGTATTTTATATGGAATTAATAGACTCTGAGCACACTTGTTGGGATAAAAGACTATTCTAAATATAATAGTTATGACCAAACAGAAAAACAGACCTGGAATACCATTGCAAATTTGAAACATTTTCATACAGAGATTCTTCAGTTAGAATTTCAACATGGAAAATATTAAGCCATCTGATCTATTTTTTGACTGCTGTTTTAGAAATCCCTTTAGTGATGAGCACCAGAGTGATTTGCCAAGGGCATCAGGCTCTAAAGAAATCTCATTTCTCAAGCTCCTAGCTTCATATGCCACACAGACTCAGTCGGGGCTTAAATGTTTAAACAGGTAATGCTAGCTCTTTAGCAGAGTAAACAGGTTGTTCTAGCTCCTTATTGGACTTTCAGTTGTTGAATTTAACATTCTGGAAAGACAATTCTCACAAATATGTAAATCTGCTCATTTTCCACACTAATTAGTGGTCTCTAAAATCAACTCATTTCATATTTTTTTCCAGTTTAAACTGTCAAAGAACCAATCAATTACTGAGTTTCAAATGTCCAAGCAGATTCCTTACCCATTTTTAAATCAAATGATTCTGAGGGGGAACAAAGAAGGAGGAGGAGAAAGAGGGGAAGGAGGAGAATAATAATTATCATTTAATCTGTTTTTAAAGGCCAGGTGGAAAAATCTATGCAAAATAGGGAAGCCTTAAGAATCCTATAAAAAATGCCTGAGTTTGCATACTGAGTAGCCTCTATTCAGCCTTAATCTGAGGGGAGGTGCCCATTCTTACTGCAAGTTGATATGCCAAATGTTTGGTTGATATTCATGGGACGACTGCCCTTTTCTGAATAGAAACAGGATGAGTGAATGGGCGGATGGCAGAGAAGAGGGGAGGAGACAGACGAGGGAGAGGAAAATGCTGTGCCAAAAAAAAATAACTTTTTACATATACACATACACGCATATACACAGATATACATACGCACATACATACGTATACACAGTAATACATATACACAGACATATATATACACAGACACACAGACACACACACAGACACACACACAGACACACACACACACACATGCCCGAGCTGAGGAAGGAAACGAGGGAAAGTTACAAGAGAAACGCCAGTGAATATGAATACCAAAGAACATTTTAGGCCTGATGATGTGGTGTAATAATTTGAAAGCATTCTGAAACCCCTACTTAAAAAAGCAGAGGATTGGGACGTACCCATACGCGTTCCCCAGACGGCAGAAAAGAAATGCTGGCCGAGACCCCTCAGTCAGGCCAGACAGACCCCACCCTGCTTGAAGGTCTCAGAAACAACAACAACAACAAAACAAGCTAAGCTATTATATCCTAAAGATACAGGCCCGAAGCCCGCGGCGCGCAACCTGCGGACAGCAGTCACCTCCTGTCCCCGCAGGAGCCGGGGAGCCCGCCTCGTCCATGAGCCTCTTTTGGGGTCTTCCGGCGCTCGGGGCTCAGCGGGCGGGATGCGGTGGCAGCCGGCGAGCGATTGGAATCGGACTCTGCATTCCGGTCCAGAGGTGGAGACTGGAGCCAGGACAAGAAACCTAGCCTATCCCTGGACCCGGGGACTCACGGGAGCTAGGGCCGGCAGGGGCGGAGCTGGGGTCGCCGCCCAGGGCGATCCTGGGTTCCAAAGAATGAGGAGAAAGTCAGCTCTTGTGACCTTTAAAACAGTAAGTCTGAAAATTATGCTGGTGCCTAAAGGGTAGAAATGACGCGCGCGCGCGCGTGTGTGTGTCTGTCTGTCTGTGGGAACCTTTTGTGGATGCAGGTGTCTGCTGCTTTGCTAACTATTGGCTCACTTGCTGTGTTTTTGAATGATAAGGTCCGTTTTGTTTTTGTTTTTGTTGTTGTTGGAGTTGTTTTGTTGTCTTGTTTTTCCGTATCCAGAGCTGGGGTTGAAAGGCTTGTATGACCTAGTCTGTTTGTGCATGCCTTAGTGATAAGAGGTGCAACCAAGTGCCCTCTTTCTCTCCACTGGAAGTATCCCAGCACAAGCCTATCTTTACTTTGTCTTCTTGTTTATTATCTGGGAAAAGTTTAAGTTTGGAAATTTAGGCCAAGGCGAAGGATTGAGTCACACTCCTGCAGTCGATGTGATTTTAATATGATTGAAACTCTTGTCTGGCTGCCCATTAGTAGCATGCTGACCTACTAGTAGATGTGACAGAGACGATTAATATTTTACTGTAATGTGTTGGGTTCTACAATAGAATTATTGGGAAAGGCCTGTACTTCAGCAAAGTGAATCTTGCATAGTCCCGGTTACTGTGGATCTTGAAGATTATGTAGAAATTCCAGGCGGGCTAGAAATAGTTCTGAGACAAAGAACTTGGGAAATGCTCCAAACACCAGGCTTAGCTAGAGCAAGGATTCTTCAAAGCTGTTTACGGAGTCTCTAGGCTCTAACCTCTTCAGCTTCAATCTCATTAAAAACCTTTAGAAATAATATATATATATAAAAAAAACCTATGTGTATGTCAGTGCAGATTCCAAAGGAGGCAGTTGGATCTCTTGGAGGTAGAGTTAAAGCTAGTCATGAGCCCACTCACATAGATGCCAAGAACTGAACCTGGGTCCTCTGGAAGAGCAGTAAGTGCTAACCACTAGACTACCTTGCCATTCCCACCACAGCTATTACACTGTGTTCTCATTCTGACTCAACCTCGACCCAACCTCAACCCAACTTTCCACCAGTTATCTCTTTCATGGTTTGCTTTTTTCCTTTCTGTCTTTTAAAAAAAAAAACCCTCACTTTCTGGACTGCAATGTTAACTGCAGATGTTGTGTTACCCAAAGTTAACCTGCTCCCTACCCCCACCTCTTTCAAAAGAACTTTCTTTCTTGGACTCTATAAAAACTTATCTTAACTTTGTATTAGCAACCTTTTAACTAATTTTTACATTTATGTTGACATCTATTTCCATCTGCAATCAGCAGCTATTATTACACCCTTAGTACACACACACACACACACACACACACACACACACACACATATATATATATATCTCCTTGGGCCTCCAAGATAACTGAAAAGCTAAGGATACTTACTGCCTAGCACTGCAACCCAAGTTAGATTATTCCTGGGATGCACATGGTGGAAGGAGAGAACAAACTTTCTCACACTGTCCTTCAACTAGCACACTTGTGCTCCCCCATCAAATAAATAAATAGATGCAATTAAAAAGATTAAAAAATTGTGTTCCTCTTTTGTGTCTATGTATCGCTGATTCTTGGGGTCTGGACCAGGTGATTCCAAGCTTTTGCTCATTTAGTTAAGTATTTAATAAAAAGCATACATAGCTCAACAACCTGAGGCTTAACTTGGCTTGGACTTTGCACATGCCTCTCTTTGAATAATATACCTGGCATTAATTTGTGAACCTGGGACCTCCACGTTCATTAAGCTGTACACATGCTCCTCTCTCAACAATGGCACAAGTATCTTCTTGCCTTCCCAACCATTAAACTCAGACAGATTCTATTCTACTCTACTCATTTTATATAAAGGAAGGCCTGAGCCAAGATGAACTAGTTTGATATAGATGCACAATAAGACAAACTATGTTCTCAAAAGAACTTTAGGGGGTGGAAATCTCCTATTTGCCACTTTATGCCTCAGCATAATACGGTACACCTGACTGAAATATATTCATTGGACTGGAGAGGTGGTTTAGAGGATGAGAGCACTGGCTGTTCTTCTAGAGGACTCACAACCAGCTGGAACTCCAGTTCCAGGTGGATCTGACTCCCCCCACCCACTTCTAGTCTCTGTATGTACTTGGTGGACATACATACTGGCAAAAAACAAACCCTCATACATATAAAATAAACAAATAAAATTAGATGAATTATGGGGAGGGACATATGAAGTAGAAAAATTACATCCTCAACTGTTGAGTTTGTTTTGCTGCATGTATGTCTGTGTAAGGGTGTCAGATCCTCTACAACTAGAGTTACAGACAATTGTGAGCTTTCATACAGGTGCTGGCAGTTGAACCTGGGTCCTCTTGAAGAGAAGCCATTGTTCTTAACCAAGGAGCTCTCTCCAGTCCCATGCATTTCCTTAACTAAGAGGAAAACCAACTTTTTCCACGTATTCTCATATTTACCATTTCTGAGGTTCTTCATTCTAGACCATCTGAGCTTTCCCTCCCATGCCATTTCTCTTCCACACGAGTTTTTCCCTGTAATATTACACATGAGTCATTATAAAGTATCAGCCATCTGGTGCTAAATTCTTTTTGTTTTATTTCTTTCTGGGTGATTTTTAAGGTTTTTTTTTTTTTTTATTAAGTATAGAAATAGGTATAGGAAGTTCTCTCTTGGCCCTTGCAAAATGTGGGTTTAGTGTCCTTTGGCCTCTTTCATTTCTTCAAAGAAAATTAATGGAATTTCGTGTTTTCCTTATTAATCTCTTGTACGCAATGTTCCCCTCCCACCTTGGTCTGCCTGCTTTTTTTTTTTTTTTTTGTTTCATTTTTGAGACAGGATTTCTCTGTGTAGCCCTGGCTGTCCTGGAACTCACTGTGTAGAGCAGGCTGGACTCGAACTCAGAAACCCGCCTGCCTCTGCCTTTCAAGTGCTGGGATTAAAGGCTGCCTGGTGGTCTGCCTGCTTTTATTTATTTATTCCTCTTTATCTGTTGGTTTTACTAACTTATGTAGGTGCCCAGGGGAGCATTTTTCACATTTTCTACAATGATCACACTTTCTTTTCCTAGTGTTGAAAAGTAGAAAGCCTGCTATTTGCAAATGCAGAGACCTGCAACCTGGACACACAAGAAGGCTAGTACCAGTGACAGCTAATCAAAACCAGAGCCTTGATAATAGATAGCATAGTACAGACCTGCAGCACTTGATAAAGTAAAACTGACCAAACAAGAAAGCCTGTAAGGGCATCTCATTTAATTCTTTACTATTTCACTGTTGAAATAACCGAGGGCCAGGATTTTGTTAGTTTGCTTGAGATGGGATCTTATGAAGCCTAAGCTGTTTGCAAACTTGCTTTGTAGCCTTTGTAGTCTTGCTCTGTTGATCCTCTTGCTATTACTTCCCACGCCCTGAATTCTGGCTGTTCTTCAATACACCTGGCTCAGGATTGAGTTCAGTTTCAGTTACAGTTAGCGATGATAAGACCTACTTTCCATTGATTCGATAATTCAAATTATCTTCACATTCTAGATCATTAAAATCCTTTCGATTAAAATCCTTTTGTTGTAGTGGATACATGGTCTCATTCAGCTCAAGCTGGTGTCAAGCATATTCTTGGAGTTAGACCCCCATATGTGTTCCTGGTCACCATCTTGGGGATGGTAGGTAGCTGCTCAGGTGCAGCCATCTGCACGCACAGGGTCACACCCCACTCTTTTGCATGTACACTTTCTAGCCCATATTTGTATATATTACGTGACTTGCTAGAATGTGCTGGGTAAGAGCCACTAACCTCTACATGAATTTTCTGCCACCTTTGCCAATATCTAAAATTAAGAGCCTATTGTTAAAGAGTGTGTGGAGGAGAATCTATATCTAAAACAAAAATCTTTATCACATGAAAAATAACTTCCCTTTGGGTACTTAAATGATTACACAATCAAAATTTAAGGGGGAGAGGCTCTAGTTGTTAAAAGGGGGGTGCTTACTGCTGACAGAAAGGCATTTATTAGAGTGAACTATTAGGACAAAGAGCTGACATCAAAGGTGTTGAGAGAAATCAAGTCTGAATTGGTTTGTTACTGTGTTAGGAACAGCTCTAAAATTTAGGCACCAAGATAAAAGCGCTCAGTTGTTTTTCTTAGTATTTACACGCACATTAGTTTTTTTCCACTTTTTTTTTTTTTTAGAGCTAAGGCCGGAACGCAGGGCCTTGTGCTAGTGCTCTACCACTGAGCTAAATCCCCAACCCCAGTTATTTTCCAATTTTAACATTTAGTCTCTTTTGTGAGACTTTTCTTCTGGGAAGAGAAATCTAATATGCTTTAACACATCAACATTTCCCTTTTTTGTTGTAGACATAGCCTCACTAGTCCCTGGTGGGACTGGAACGCTCAACTATCCACCTGCCTCTGCTTCTCAAGTGCTGCTGGGATTAAAGGCTTGCACCTTAGGTATGGTTTGACATACTAACTTTTAATAGCCTTATACTAAGGAAACTACTTAAACTCTACTTAACCACATCCGTGTCCGACTGTGTAATGTTTCAAAATCACTTCCAAAACAGCCAAAAGGCACGTGTGCCTTCCCCTTTGCGCTCTCCTGCTGTTTGAATACTTTCAGTACTTACCAATAAGATCAAGCCCCCTTTAAATGCTTTTATAAACTCCAAATCCTCTGCGTTTTCACATCATCTCCACTCCCCAACACCGTGGCATTCTGGTATTTTAATCTTTGGCTAAAATGCTAGCTTTATCTTTTAAAATGCAGGCAATTATAAGTATTGGCAGTCTTTCATCTTTAAAGAAAAAGCACTGGAAGACACTGGCAGAAAATACACCCGGAGAAACTAACCACTTATCAAATACATTTTTGAATTGCAGGGGTAAGGAAGCAAGCGTGAGGCTTTAAAGGTGAAACTCAAACGTTTATTAGAAAAGCTAAAAGGGAACACCAACTTTCTGAAATCCTCATGAAACTCATGAGCCCGACAATGATCACTGTATCCACCGGTTGGCCATCCGAAGCTCTGACTGGCTTCAGGGATATTGTCTGAGAGAGGCGTTGTCTTGCATATTTGCTTTGGAAGTAGAAGAGTGAGTAATTCCTTCAAAATTAAAACGCATTTGTCTGAGTTCGAGGCCAGCCTGGTCTACAGAGTGAGTTCCAGGACAGCCAGGACTACACAAAGAAACTCTGTCTCGAAAAACCTAAAAAAGAAAAAACAAAAAACAAAAAACAAAACAACAACAACAACAAAAAAAAACGCATTTGTCGGCGTGGGCGGGAACCAGCCCACTCTGGAATTCCACTCCTGGTGGCCAAGTCCTGTGTGGAATGTGGGTTTCAAATACCAGGCTTTCCCCTTAGTGATAGACCCACAGTGGGAGTTTAATAAGCAGTGGGGTTTGCGATCATAGACAAATCACAGCCACACAAACGGCTCAAAACAAGGGACCAAAATGTGTTCTCCGGTGACGTTCAGCCTAATCGACTAGAGTTGCCAACAGGAAGCTTTCGATAAGATATGGAAAGACTTTTTTAAACAAAGTAATTTTGCATTGCAGCAAAGAAAACGGAAGTAGTTTGGTTCCTCTCGCGTTTCGTAGAAGCAGATTGTGGGACCTCTAAGCGACATGCCCCAGGGAAGTAGGCTGCCCGCAGCGATGCCTGATGGAAATCCAGCCGTGTTCTCACCACGGACGCTACAAAAGGCGGAAGTGGAAACTCCCAACGTCTGGCACCGCGGGAGCCACCTCTCTAATGGGAGGAGTTGCACATGCGCAAAGAAGTCCAGCAGAGCGCTTAAATACCGTCATGCAGCCACTCGCGGCCTTTTTCTCTGCCGCCGCCAACTTGCGCGGAGGCGGAAGCTCGGGGTGAGTCTGAATTAAACGTGTAAGCCGTGACTAGCTTGGGCGCTTTGGTTTCAGATGTGGAGAAGTGCTTTAGTCCTAACAGGCGTTTTGCTGGTGTTTTGTTTTTCAGTGCATTCAAGATTCGGCGATACTCGTAATCCACCGCCATGGCCGAGGAAGGGTGAGCTGACGGGCCCTAGTTGGGACGTGAGCCTCCCACGGCCGGCGCGGGTCCGAGCTTTCTCCAGATTAGCTACTGTCCATAGTCTGCCGAGGATTCTAACGATTCTGTTTGCATTTCAGCATAGCTGCTGGAGGTGTAATGGACGTCAACACTGCTCTACAAGAGGTGCTGAAGACCGCCCTCATCCACGATGGCCTAGCACGTGGCATACGCGAAGCTGCCAAAGCCTTAGACAAGTATGTGTCTCAGTCTCAAACTGTGGGGTGTTGCAGCCGGAACAAAAACTGCAGCCAAGGGAAGAAAGCGTGAAGTTCATGCTGTTAGCACAAAAGTTCTGAGTGTCACCTATCCAGCAGGAAACATAGGAAAAGGTATCAACTCTAGCCCACTTAAGATGTGTGGGTTGCTGTGTGGATTGGGGATGAGCGGTAGTTCCTTTTGTAAAGCTACAGTGTTTGTGTGATGACTTAATTGTCGGATACCCCTTCACCTCGTTCATGGGTGAGAAACAGCTAGTCTGACAAACCTGTAGCTCGTGGGGATAATCGGTACATTTGCTAATAGGCAGAAAGGGAACATCAAATAAAACTAGCAATATTGCAGTGTCTCAGAAATCTAGCTATGTCCAGGATACTTGAGAACGTAGTTTATTAGGCTTATGCACGTGTATGTTCCAATGCTTAAGGTAAAGTCAGGTGATTTTGATGTTTTTTTGTAAAATGAATTGAGTCCAGATCCTGCTGTTAATATTTACAACGCAACCTTCAAGATTTAAATGTCTCGAACGTTGCCATGATTTGCTTTTGCCATAAGTAGGTTTCCTCAAGAAAGAATGGTATGTGGTATCCGAGGGCCAAGGTTTGTACAGGAACATTGGATGCTCCAGCAGTTTGTGCACACCTATGTGTGCTGCTTAGTAAGCTTTAGTAGTTAGTGAAGACCTGATCCTTGACCGGAAACGCTTGGAGCTGTGGTTTCACCTTTTGAATTTTGAACTTTAGGCGCCAAGCCCATCTCTGTGTGCTTGCATCCAACTGTGATGAGCCCATGTATGTCAAGCTGGTGGAGGCACTTTGTGCCGAGCACCAAATCAACCTGATAAAGGTAAGCTAAAGTTCTTTCTGTCTTTGTGATGATGGTGTTGGGCCACAGGTACCAGAACTAAGCTGCTTGGTAAATTTAAGTTGATTATTGACAATGGGCTGTACATGATGACAACTGGCTCCCTCTACTGAACTTCGGTGAGGAAACTGCCATGTCACCCTTCTGACACAGCCACCTTGGGAATGCTGAGTTTTCAGTTTTTGTTATCTTTGATACTTGGTAGTAATTACTTTTGTTTTTGCTAGGTTGATGACAACAAGAAACTAGGGGAATGGGTGGGCCTCTGTAAAATCGATCGAGAAGGGAAGCCACGGAAAGTGGTTGGTTGCAGTTGTGTAGTGGTTAAGGTAAGTTTTGCTTTTATTTTAAACATTGATGGCCCTTAATGGATACAGAAATACTAAACAGGCTTAAACATTCTGTAATTTGAAAGCCAGCCAGTTAAATCTGCTTATCTCAGCATTGCTGCAGAAATTTAGAAAGGTTGGCAGTAATGCCGAGGTACAAGCTTTAAGGAGGGCTGAAGTTCCTGGAAACGGTAGAAATGCTAGGAAGCAATTTAAGACTGAATCAAATAATTAAGAACTTACTGAGAAAGTAATTTGGCATCTAATTTTTTTTTTTTTAAGGACTATGGCAAAGAATCTCAGGCCAAGGATGTCATCGAGGAATACTTCAAATGCAAGAAATAAATAAAATTTTGGCTCGTTTTTCTCTTGTATTTTTTCTCGTTTGCTGCTACAAAATGGAATGTCCTTACTTGGATGTTTGATAGATTGGAAGTATATACTCCTAAGATTTTAGTTGGGTAAATGACTAACCAGGCTACATACATAAAAATAAAATTGGGCTTGTAAAAATTTTGATGGACAAAAGGAGGTGATGGCATCAAAGCTTCAAACTGGGGAACATGGGCCTCAAAATTGGGCACACTTTGGCAGCCAGAACTAGAGAGAGAATTGCTTCAGGGTCTGGCTACATGCCATGACAGGTTGAGAGGTAAATTTCACAGAGCAGACATCCAGGATTTATACTAAATAGGATGATAAATTAGAGGAAGTGAGGGTTAAATGTGGAGACTTGGGAGATGTAAAACATGTTTTTCTGAACCCTGTTTACATCCAAGTTAGCCACTAGTTGGATGTACTGAAGTTGCTTGGAAAGGCTTAGAAATCAGGAGTAATAAAGGATTCATAATCTGCAGGATATGAACCTCCTATTTGTCTTTTTATTAAGTACTTGGTGACAGTTACATTAAAAAAAATTTGCACCATCGCTGCCTTCAGACCCCAGAAGAGGGTATCAGATCCCATTACAGATGATTGTGAGCCACCACGTGGTTGCTGGGAATTGAACTCAGAGGACCTTTGGAAGAGCAGACATCTCCAGGCTGAAATTTTGCTTTCAAAGTGTCTGGTTTTAAGAAAGGAAAGAAAGAATTTCGGCTGATGAAGTCACTTGACAACTGGATGGCTGTTAACCTTCAGTAAGAAGAAACTTAGGAGAGACAAGGCCAGTGAGCATTGGAGTCAACCTTGTGGCCTTTAAGGCTGAATTGCTCAGCCTTTTTGAGGCTTTATCCTGTCATGGCAACAAGTCAGTCTCACTTGAGCTTCCCTTCAGACTACTATGGTGCTAAGCTGTCTCAGTTTCTCTACTCTAGGGAGCAGGACATAGAAACATCCTACTACAGTATGGGGTATGTGGCTCTAGGGATCTGAATAATTTTAAAAGCTATTTTGAGACCCGTGAGTAGTAATAAACATGAATTCAGGGAAACTTTACACTGCAGTAATTTCTTTTTAAAGCATGTTATTTGAAACAATAGCTCTGGTGATTTGTCCTTTTTCCATCTCAGCACAACTGTCACATTTCCAAATGGACTTAAAAGTCCTTGTTTGTACCTAGTTGGCTTGTTGAGTAAAAGTATCACAGATACTTAACATTGCTGTTACCAGGTTAAAGGAACAAAAGGTGTGTAAAAATAGGTGACTGAGATCTTTAGGGGGAAATAGACAACATACAAAGTAACACAAGTCTTTAAAAACTCATCTTTTCTGGACTTGATGCTGGGTAAACAGGAATTCCAAGGCAGATATTTTGCTAAATGGGCATATGCTGCAGCTTGCCAGGGTCCTTATCACACTTTGGCATAAAGTCTTGTAGTAATGTCATTGTCTCACAGAAGAACATACAGAGCCTAAGAAGAAACTGAAGATTTTGAGTCATTTCAAATGGTTTGAAATAAAATCATCAGTCAAAAATACTCAATTTTGTCATGTAGGGACTTAACACTGAGTGTTAAAAGTCTGGTTAGTTTTGTTTTTTTTTTTTTTTTGGCAACATTTTAGGTAAGTTTCAGGTTTATTTTTACTTTGTATGAGTATTTTGCCTGCATGTTTGTGAACCGTGATCATGCGTGGAGGCCAGAAGAGATCATTGGATTCCCTGGAAATGGAGTTGCACGTGGTTGTCAATTGCTATGTGCGTAGTAAGAATCAAACCTGGGCCGGGCAGTGGTGGTGCATGCCTTTAATCCCAGCACTTGGAAGGCAGAGGCAAGCAGATTTCTGAGTTCAAGGCCAGCCGGGTCTACAGAGTGAGTTCCAGGACAGCCAGGGCTACACTGTTTCGGAAAAAAAAATCAAACCTGGGTCCTTTGTAAGAGTAATAGGTGCTCTTAACCGCTGACCCATCTCCCCAGCTCTGCAATTTTTTATAATAAAGTTAAAATAATATTAAAAATTAGTAGGAGAAAAAAGGCATGAAGGGAAAAAAGAAATGTTCCAGCCGTGATAATTAGTTAATTTCTCTTCATTCCTTTTCTTGATTATTCTCTTACTTTGCTACTGGAACACAAGTTGAAACTAAGTACCAGGAAACTGAGTATTATCAGGCAAATTTGCTTGTATGTCATTGAGTAGAACTCACATAGCTGCTTTCTCCATCATGTCGAACTGAAGCAGCTCAGTAATTTCTAGCCCATATGTGTATGTGTAACTACTGTTCTAAGAAATTTTTTCAGAGCAGCAAACTATAACGCCCTACCTGTATAACTGTACTCTCCCCCTAAGGCTTGAAGACAGGGGAGTCAGGAGCAGAAGTGGGTAGGTAGTGCATGTGCTGATTCAACTGAACCTTGGCTATACTTAGACAAAACCTCTCGTTAAATCTCAAGCATCTATTATTATTAATCTTTGTCAATTAAAAACAAGTTTTAAAAGACAGCTTGTGTGAGAAATGATAACACTTACCTAAGGAAGACAGAATTATACATTGATATTTATAATATTGTGGTGCTTTGAATATGCTCGGCCCCAGGAGGGGAACTATTAGGAGGCGTGGCATTCTTGGAGGACTCCCATCATTGTGTGGGTAGACTTAGAGTCTCCTGTGCTCAAGCTTTGCCCAGTGGGAAGAGGGCCTTCTCCTACCTCCCTGCAAAAGATTCTCTTCCTGGCTGCCTTTGGATCAAAATGTAGAACTCTCAGTTCCTTCGCCAGCACCAGATCTACCTGAACACTACCATGCTTCCCACTATGAAGATAATGTTCTGAACCTCTAAAACTGTAAGCTAGCCCCAATTAAATAATGTCCTTTATAAGAGTTGCCTTGGTCATGATGTCTGTTCACAGCAATGAAACACTAAGACAAAAACTTTATTTAAATTGAAAAAAAAAAAAACCTGAGAAATGGGGCTCCTCACTTTATAGTAGTATTAGAGATAGTTTATTTTGTAACTGCATACTCAGGCACCAGCCCAGAAGGACAGGTGTGGCAATTTAGCACAGAGAACAGTTTCTGAACACCAAACACATGATTCTTCTTTTCTCATCACTGAGGAATCACAAGGAACAACCTTAAGTGCAACCGAGATCCCATTTTTCCCTGTGTAATTTACATTTGTCTTTTTTTCACAGTAGAAACCTTGACTACATTATTTCTTGTTTTATATCCTGTTTAAGGCTTATCAGCTAATGACCTTGCAGGTAAGCTTAACTTTTAGTAATTTTTGACTCTAAACTGGTTTGGGTGGGAGGTGTGGCTTGGCTGAGTTTGGATGTGTGCGGAATAGCTACACTAGTAGGCATTAGCAGGCATCATTTTGGACCAAAGCTGGTTGGTGGGGTTCCTTAGAAAACGAACCACCAGATGTTATTTCTTACACTTTCCACACATACATGATATGGACGTAAAGTGCTGAGCAGTTGAACATGGGGTCTTTTTGACTTTGCTCTATGATTCTGAAATGTGGAGATTTTATTTCTTTCTCAATAATAGCAGCTAAATCAGCTAATCAGGAGAAAGGGGTTACATCTTTTATAATGTTTTGCTAAGGAATTACCATATTGCTTTATGCTTGATTTTAGGATTTTGAAGAGGGTATACTAGGAAGGGAACTCATATAATCCCAGGATTTAT